GAAATGAGAATGCCTGCGTTAAGTCCTATTCTTATTAGCCAGTTTAGTTTCCTTTGAATATACCTGCAGGGACCAAAGAAAACTTTTCTTTAAACATTCTGCAATCACTAGAAGGCGTTCAATTCTACAAGGTCATTGTTTCTAAAGAAAAAGAAACGTTCTTGGGGTTTTTTTTTTGAGATAATTTATTATTTTTTATGTTATTCATAATCATATAATTCTTCAATTGTTTCTTCAATATTCAATTTTAATAAATTTTATTTTCATATCAATATAATTAGTATTATTATCTATAACTTATAAACAATAATAGTATTTATATTGGGCATAAAATTTTCTCTCAAACTAATTTTTCTAATCGGTTTCCTTGGAGAGTTTATTGCTGCATGCCAACATATTAACTGAGGTCACCCCTTTCTCTTTGTTTGGGCTTCTTCCTCTTATACCAAATGTGGCCTAAATATTTATCATCATAATTTTGCTTATTAATAAACCCTCACAAATTACAACTATACTACTCCTCTAATCTTAAATATAATACTTAGTATAGCGGTTTATTTTTCATATTAAATGTAAGATTTTAATTCACTTTGTCTTCAGAATTTATAATTTTTTTTTCAAATTATTCCTATTAATTAATTACACTCATGAAAGGTTTGTATCATGGGTAGTTTTTAATGTAAATAATTAAAGGAGTATTTTATAAAATTAATATATATTTATTATAAATAACTAACTTAACGAATTTTTTTAATTCTTACAAATTAGTTATTTGGCTCCGGAGGAGTATAATTTAACTGTGGCGTTTACTAACAGTAACTAAAGCACAATTTAGCTTTGAACTTTCCAATACATAGAAGCTTTTACAACTTTAGTAATTGCAGTTAAACCCATACTTACAAATATAAGAAACAGTTAATAATACAAATAACTATTAAGAATATTACGACTTCCATAGTCCAACACTTAAGTTTTATCTGAATGGCAAGAAAAAAACTTAAATTTTATCAAATGAATTTAATAAAAGTTACGGATTAAAAATAAGCCAACCCACTTAAACTTATGTGATAAACTAAAAACACAAAAACTACCGAATGAAAAAGAAAAAGGATTTGCTTAGTGTTTTTTTCCCCCCAAAATCAACCTTATAAATTTCTTCTAAGCTACTAAAATCTCCTTAGTTTCTGGTAGGATGCAGAAGAACTATTGAGAAAGACAACATCTCTGTTGGGCAAAATAATAAAATAAAATAAAATAAAAAGACAACATCTCAATCTCAATCTCAATTTCCAAGGTTTTGATCAATGAGTATTTAGACTTTTGTTAACAAGTTGAGGAATGTGTGTGTGTGTGTGTGTGTGTGTGGATGGAACCTATCAATACTAGGAATATTTTCCAAATGTAACAAATAAATTCTTACTACATATAATTAATAGAATATTATGCAGCAACATATATAGAATTCAATTAGACACAAAATTTATTAATACTATCTCGTCCTTAATATAAGAGTTAGATGACTAACTCAGAAAGATTAAGAAAATTGGTTAATTTGGTGAAGTATAATAATTATGTGTTGATTTTCTTAAATTATCATCTTTATTTATGTGCATTAAACTGTCCCTTGATGGGAACCCCGGTCCCTACAGTCAATATGGAATTTTAGAGAAAATATTACAAATTTTAGAGACAAAGTGGATTGAGATATTATATTTTGGATCGATTAGTTCTTATATTAAGGACTGAAGGTAGTATGTAAAAACATTGCCGACACTCATGTTGTTGATATTTTCTGTTGTAATGTCAATTTGGTACAGTGTAGGCTACCAAGTTTTTTGGCTGGGAATTTGATGCCACATCAACAGAGAGCTCCACCGAGAAAGAAGGATGCTCAAGGATTCTCTTTTATCAAATATTATCGTTCATTAATTATGTTTATTATGCAAAATGTTTAGTAGGCAAAGAAATAGATATACATATACATATATATATATATAGGAGAGTACGAAAATGACAATTAATTATGTATTACTTTTTATCTTTAATATAAGAGCTATTTGACTAATTTGAGTAGATTAAAAAAATTAGTTAAGTTGCTTATTTGTTATAAATATGTGTTGTCTTCCCTAAAATACCTTCGCCAATCAAGTATCATTTGATGAAACATTTAACATGTACAACTACTACAAGGACTACCTTAAGAAAAATGGATAAATATAAAAGACAAAGTGGATTGATGTTTTATATTTAGGACCTAAAATGAAAGTCAAACTAGTTTTTATATTAAGGACTAGAGGTAGTAATAATACTCTAGTTTTTACTTTAGCAAATAAAAAAATATTATTAAATAGAAATATTATAGCCTTGGCATAAATTAGGAGGATCGGAATAGTTTGAGACGAATATGATAATTTCATTTCTTTTTAAAACCGCAAATTGCTAAATTTTAATTTAATACATTTGGTTCTTTCAGGTTAAATGCAATAACATAAGTTGCATGTTTTCTGCACCACTTGAGAGTTAAATTTCGGAATGTCACTATTAAATCATTGCATGTATGAGAAATAGTAGGTTTTTGGATACATGCAAATTAAATGTGGGAAGATGAATGACAAATTCTTTAGACTTGAGATATTCGATTGCGGATATTTAGCATCAAATCCCTACACTCATAAAATGTCTCACTTCATTGATTTACGTACTAAACATATGTCTCGGAATTGAACTTTATAATATCTAATTTCCTAGTGTTCCTTATACCTCATTATCTCAGTAGCTCAGTGATACAGCACTCTGCTGTTAATTCAGAATAAAGGAGTTTTCTTTGACCATTGAGAGTAGTTATAAGCAACCCGTTACTTGTGTCTTTGGTTCTTTACCCTAGCCTATATCCCTCTTATACTTCATCAACATTAATTCCTTGAGAACAGAAAAGTGAGCTTTTTTGGCGTACCAAAATGTAAAATCCACACACACACACACACACACACACACACAATAGCTATAAAACTTCCATGAACCTTTGAATCGTGTAAAAATAACCCCTTAACAATTAAAACTTAATAATAAACCAACAGGGATTGGGTCTAGTAGAAGGGGCTAGTCTCTTATAACATAGCGAACCAAGGTTCAAATCCTTATTGGGAGAGGTGTCCATATTTAGTACCTGACAGTGTCTCGAATAAGATTGCCTCCAATAGGAGAATACCTATACTTTAGCAAAAAAAAAAAAAAAGAAAGAAAAAGAACTTAATAATAAATCTCTTTGAGTTTTGAAGTTTGTGCGAATGACTCCAATTATCAATTATGTGCCCTTTACTTTTATATAGATATAACACTATTAAATTTTGAATTGTATGCAGATAACCCCCCAAATTTTAAGCTATAGACAAATTAATAATGAGTAAAACTAATTATACAAGAGTTATATGAATGTACATAAAAGTCTAGGGGAGTTCCTTATAAAGTTTCAAATCTCAAGAAAATTATTTGTACATGATATAAAATTCAAGGGAATTATGTGTAATTTAGCCCCCCCACCACACACACATATAATTAACTGAGCATCTTAACAAATTAACTGTCTCATCAGTGTTGTCCATGCATGTTTGGAATCGTTTGACTTCCTTGAGGTTTTAATTTCTTCCCATGGAATGATGAGCAACACAGCTGCGTTTTTATTCCATGAGCCGCAAAGATTGAAGATTGTAAATAGTGAGCATGGGCTTCCATTCGATGAAGCCTCAAAAGCATATATGCTTATCGTTGTGTTCAAACTAAACCTTCTATTTATATTTACTTATCTATTTATTTATTTTCGTTTCGAATGAAAAAAGATTAGGAAAAATCACAAAAAAGACCACTAAAATAGAAAAATCACACACATGGATCCGTTCACAAAAATTGTTATCAAAACTCATATTATTGTTGTCAAAACCCATACTCATGTTGTCATAAGTCCTAATTTGCAATTTTTCTATTTCGGCGGTCTTTTTTTGCCATTTTTCCAAAAGATTAAGATGCATTCAGTATCTTAAAGTATTTTGTCAAGCATATCCAGCATTCTAAAGTATTTTGTAGTTTATTCAACATCTTGAAGTATTTTTTTAGGTATGTTCAACGTCCTAAATTATATTTTGCTGCATACAATATACTAAAGTATTTTTTTAGATGCATTCAATACTACAACTTATTTTTTTGGTGCATCTAAAACCCTAAATTGTTGAGTGTAAAATTGCACTAAAATATATTTTAGGGTACTTTATAATAAAATCCAACATAATATTATTTTTTTAATCTATTTGAAATTACAACAAAATACTCATCTTTAAAATAAACTAAGACCGTTCTTTATGTCATCTGGCCCCTTGATGAGAAAAAAGTAACAAGAAAAAGATCACTCCATGAAAAATGGAAAGAGAAGCAAATAATATCCACTCTACTTAAAGCGAAGTTAGTAAGAGGTTTATTTTTTACTAGTGTGAGTTTGATGTGATGGATGATAATTTTTTATTGGCCTTAACTCAGGCTGCCATAATACCCTTCACAAAGGGTTTGGAGTCATCACAACCTTACACTTAAAAAAGACTTACGAGAATCAAACGGAGTTGGATCTAATACAAAGGGTCAGTTTCTTATGATATGGTGAATCAACGTTCGAATTCTTATTGTAAAAAGTATCCACATTTAGTGCTAAACAATGCCTTAAGCAGGATTACCTCCAATAAAAAGATACTTGTGCCTAGTGCAAAAAAAAAAAAAAAGGGAAGAAGAAAAACTTAAGAGAAGCGCTTCGTGAAAATTACTAACGAGGGTATGATTTCAAAGTCTTCTTAACTATAGCTATAATATTAGCTTACCCTACATGTACATGGACAGGCGTCCCATATTGATTAATGGAGCATCTGATGCAATCGTACAGATAACAAAATATTTGCCCACTAGCTGGCTAGCTTTATAAGCTATATATAAACAAGTGAATAATGTATGTTGCAATCCAAGCCAAAGTTCCTCATCAATCTCCTTTCAAATATTAAGTTGTTAGTATAATTTATTAAGAAGAAGAAGATGGGAGGTAACCTTTCCCAGTTGGATAATAATGCCAAAGTTGCATATCGAAGATCAGCTTCACTGTCATCATCTTCTCGTGTCATCACCTTCCATTCCACAGCTAAATGGAAGGCTCACTTTGATGCCTCCAAATCAACCAACAAGCTCGTACGTTTTTTTTTTAAAAAAATAATTTAATTTAGATTAGTTTTGTTAATATATTAATTCATATTCTGCTCTAATTTCTTATTATTCTGCTGATTATGAAGATGGTGATCGACTTCACGGCCACGTGGTGCGGACCCTGCAAAATGATGGATCCGATTATCAAAGACTTTGCTGCCAAATATGCCGATGTGGAGTTCATCAAGATTGATGTGGATGAGCTAATGGTATATATCTCCCATCATGCTTAGCTTATTGACTACTTAATTAATAGCCTAATAGTTACAGGTCGATCTTTCACTCACTAATTAACATAAGGGACTCAGTTTGAGAAATAAGCCACACTGTTCATAGTCGATAAATAACACTATTTGATATAAATAGAGTCTTGGGAATGAACCTCATCGTACTATATTATATTTTTTTATGGCTTCTTTTAATGGTGCGGCCTGTCATAGATTAAATTGTATATATCGGTGCATTATATATACACATATATATGTATCGATATATTTATAAGAAGAAATGGAAGTGCAGGAAGTGGCTAGTGAGTTCAAAGTGCAAGCAATGCCAACATTCCTACTGATAAAGAAAGGAACTGTTGTAGACAAGACGGTGGGAGCCAGGAAAGAGGAACTTCAGAAGCTCATCGAGAAACACAGGAAATAAATGATATTATGAGACCTATTCAAAACTCTCTCTCTCTTTCTACACATATACATGTGTGAGAGAGAGAAAGAGAGATGAACTATATATGACGTAATAAATAAGTCAGCATGACAAGGAAGAGATGGATCTGCTGCTATATATATATAATTAAGGCGTGACCTTTATTAGCCGTTAGGTGGGGAAGAAGAACTGTGTGAGAGTACTATATATAGATCAATAGTTCATATATAAAGAAAAAGAAAACGCATAAAGTGAAATAAGCTGGGGCCCTTTGTTTTGCCATGAAGATGACATACGTGATCTTGTACATGCATAAATATTTTTCAGGGTTTGTATTGAGGATGATCTTGTACGTGTTATATATATATATATATATATATATCTCTGTTGCGTGTATGTTTTTATGTATTAAACTATTAATATTGTTTCAGATCCTGTGTTAGATATGGAACCATGCAACTCTCCACGTTTTTTTTTTTCTTTCTGTAGTTGAATTCAGTATACTAGTATTCTGCTGTCGGCGTGAGAGAGAATCTTGTGTTGTGTATAAAGTAATGCGTTATGCTATATCTTTTGCAAATTGTTGATAAAATATCATCACCACCTCAAGTGAGGTAGAAAAGTTGCTGTAAAAGCGTTCCGTCACGTTTTGGCATAAAGAATAAGTGGGCCACGAATATTTGAGATTTTGAATAATAAGAAAGGGACATATACCTTTCATAAAACCATAGTATTAAAAATCCTTCTAGCCAGATGCTCAAACCAATGAGTTGGTGAACTAGTTTCATGATGGGTCAATCAAGAGTCTTGGACATAAATAAGATTGAGCCTGAAATGACGTTGTTTAGTTTTAGGGGGAAAAAATAGCAATAGGTCATGTACAATTTGGTAAATTTTTTAGATTATGTGCTTCTTGTACATGAATATTCAATTTACTTGCGAGTTAATAACTTTTTATTTAAATTTTATTATTTTCAAGGTTATATATGAGTATTTTTATATATTTTAATTGAATTCTAGTATTATAATTGAGTTGATGTCAATTCAACCACGGTTTGATTATTGAACCATAAAGCACAACGTTGGCCGATTCGATATCAATTTGGTTTTCAATACCTTTGCATAAAACCAATTCGCATGCTTGAATATAAACAAAATTTAAATAAATAAATAAATCAATGTCATTGATATTTTTCCTAAAACAAGAGATAATAATTTGTCTGAAATTATGAAAAACAAGTTCGCATTTGAAATTATGTTTTTAAAAGTACGATACCTTTTCTTCAACTATTTTGATCGAAGGCTCATTAAGGAAGTGATCAGCTTTCTAATAGAAGGGTTTATTATAACTCATAAAACATATATACTCCTCCGGTCCTTATTATAAGACCCAATTTGACTTTTTATTTGGTCCTAATTATAAGACCCAATCTATTTTCTCTTTTATATTTATACATTTTTTTCCAAGATAATCCTTCTAATAATGATATTTTTAGCTAATATACTTAATTAGCAAAGATATTTTAGGAATAACAACACTTATTTATTATAAATAACCAATTTAACTTACTTCCTTAATCTCCTCAAATAAGTCAATTGGGTCTTATAATTAGGACCGGAGGAGTACTTTGATAAACCATTTCTTAAAACTCATTCCCTCTACCAAACATGCTTTAATTCAGAGTGTGACTAAAGGAAACCCACTGTCATTTTAGCATAATTAAAAAGCATCACTTTCAATTTATTTTCTATTGGTTTTGGACATTTAATCAAGGTCTTCTTGGACAAGCCAGTTTAAAAGGCCAATGCATCAATGTCAATATAAAAGTAGCTTTACTCTATTTATCACTACTGACTCATCATTTACTCTCCTTATGCATACATAAAATATCTCTGTGAATTATCTTGCCTTTATTATTGAGAAGATCCCATAAAAAAGTTTGAAATTAATTAGTAAATCTCAAATTAGGTTTGGTAATAACATTTTAATAGGTTTTGCCAATACTGTATTCATAAATAACAATATATTTTTGTTGCAATTCCTTATTTAGGATTTAGTAATTTCAAACTTCTTGTTGTGAAATTCTCCTTTTATTATTTACATTACTAGTCAATTTTAAGAGATCAAACGAGTAATTTTTGTCTTTTATGTCATTTCCATCCTTAATTAATAAGGGTATCACAAATTTTCAAAAGAGGTTTCGATTTTTTTTTTGAAAAATGCATCTTTGGTTTTTTTGATATAAAAGTCATATTATACAAAGTTTTTTTTTAAAAAAAATTTATACCAGGTTTTGTTTTAGTTCTTTAATTCTTTAATACTAATATCGTTATTTTCATTAACAAAAAAATGTTGACGGTAAAATTTTAAATGTACACAAAACATTCATGTACTAGTATATTAAGTTTAAATTTTTCTAAAGTAACAATGATTGACACAAAAAAATATCATTTGAGACTAGTTGGATCAGGATTAAAGGATTAAAAAATAATTTATAAATTTAAACGACTGAACTAAAATATTTCACAAAATCCATCACAAATTTTACAACAGAAAACTTTCTTGTCACAATTTTTTTTTCTTCAGTTGCTAGATCTTGCACTACTTTGACATATTTAGATTCTATTTGAAAAGAAGCACTTAACATTACAAATCACACACGCATGCATGCATGCAGTGTATGCTATTTGTATTCTTTTACGTAATATGTTTTTCCTCTTTAACTAGTATTAACGAAGCAGAGACCACTATCTCATAAAGTAGATTCGCCTGTGAAAAATTTTCAATTTCAAATTGCGTTGAATGTTGAAGAATACAATGCCTTCCCTATGATGCAATTACGATCATATCATTCTTTCTTATGAATATATTTCAATTATTTCAAAAGGGACAAGTTCACATGCTAGCTACAAGAATTCAATGCTCTCCTAACGATGCAATTTTGCATAGCCTTCAACTAAATATCTTTCTTGTAACCTGAAGTTAGAAATACAGACCAATCCTTCGGTTGTAATTTCAAATCGGGATGAAAAGACCACATCAAAATAGGGTGGCATTTCGCCAACCCATCCCATTACTCTTTGAGTTTATCCAAGTCGTATAATTTTGCTTCTACTGAACCTTCTTAAAATTTTAAATTCATACAAATAATATCATATCATTTGTTAATTAGTTTTTCGTTAACATGACATAAATATGTGATATAGAATCTTTAGAAGCTTCAATTTTTTTTTTTGGGAACGAATAATCTATTAGAATTGAAGTTGTGCAACAAATAATAACCTCATGACAAGTTAGGGTTATATGTAAGTAATCTCCTTTGCTGTTAAATTGCCCAATGTTTCATATAACAATATAACATTATAGGAAATATGTTTTCATAATAAAGTTTATACATAATTCTAAGTTTGAGGATTTCTTTGATGAGGTATTTTGTAAATAAGTTATTATGTTTTGTTAACGAAATAATGGAATAACTATGTAGTGCGTATATATAATTACAACTTTATTATTGTTATTATTATTATTATTTCTCACTCATTGTCGAAGGGGCCTATGAATAATGTGATAAACTTAACCCTGGACCAGCTGGAACATCGATTCCTATCTAGAAAAGAAACTATAGGTTTCTCACTCAACTTACTAAAGGAGAAAATAACCACCGTTCTTTTAATTTGTGGTTTTCTTTGTTTTTTCTTTAATGTTAAATTATTGTTCTTAATTTGTGCGGTCCCCATTGATGGGTCAAACTTTAGTTACAAGAGTGATGTATAAAGAAATACTACCTCCGGTCCTTAATATAAGACCCCGTTTGATTTTTAGTTTGGTCCTAATTATAAGACCCCAATCCATTTTGTTTATCATATTTATGCTTTTTTTCTCAAGATAATCTTTCTAATAATGATAGTTCTAACCAACACACTTAATTAGTAAGGATATTTTAGGAATGACAACACTTATTTGTCACAAATAACTAACTTAACTTACTTCCTTAATCTCCTCAAATTAGTCAACTGGATCTTATAATTAGGACCGGAGGTAGTATATATTTAAAGGGGCTAATACAAATTTTGGCTTTTCAAGTTTGTCCTCATTTTGGTTTTGGTCCCTCAAGTTTTAAGCCATATGTTTTAGTCCTTCCAAGTTTCTTTTCATTTAAAATATTAGTTCTTATAATCCAATAAAAACTTAGATTATTTTGCCCCTAAAGAGAACAAAACTTATGGCTTGAAACTTGAGGGATGAAAACCAAAATAAAGACAAACTTGAGGAACTAAAGATTATATTAACCCTAATAGGGCAAATTCATTTTTTATCTCCGCATAAAGGTAAAAGTAAAAGTAAAGGCAAAAGCAAAATTTGGGCCCGAGAGGATTATCGTGATGATGAATGGTTCTTCTTTCTTTAAAAAATTTCAAACGATAATCTAGCCAAAAAAATCATTGACACGATAAAATGACAGGAAAATCTCTATGAAATACGTGAATCTCAAACTTTAATTCATCAAATGATGCCAGCGATCTTGTCACCTAGTGGTATGAAAACTCGTGGACAAGTAGTGAAAGGTTGTGGGTTCAATCTCAAGTTTGTTTAACCTCACGCCTTTAGTGGTTGCCGTTCTAGTTCGAACAAATTGCAATAACAACTAAGCAGTGAAAATTTTTTGTTGAATATCAACGACAATGGTGTTGGAAATTGTGCCCTAAGGGCCAATCATTGTGTTATGAACATTGTTGATTTATGAATTTATTAATTATGTTATCATATTATTTGCATGTTTACTGTGATGACTATCCTTGGATAACTCATGATTTATCCTAAATGTCCTTGGTCGGTCATCTATGTGGGAGCAAAGATGAAATAAGACCAGTATAACTTTAAAGATATTTAGAGATATAAATTAAAGTCATAAGCATATGTAAGAGTACAAGGTGTTGGACCGACCCGCTATGAGAGAGCTGTATGGGTTAAGTCATAAGCTTCTCTCATATACAAACCATGTCACTGTGCCATTTGACCTGAGATCATCATGGATTCCTACATGAGAAACGCTCAGCTTTGACCTAGTCAAAAGTCACTTTTGACCGAGTGATCATAAAGACTATGTTCAGGCTTAGTGGCTTTTCATGCGGAGGAATGTGAATGGTTAAGATGGAATTTGTCCCTCACATTCGTTGAGAGATATTACTAGGCCCCTCGATGAGTGAGTCTGAGAAATATATGGCCATACTATAATGGAAAGGTAGTTCCGTTTCTATACTCAGACTACTCAGGGATCGAGAAAGTAACGGTCATGAATAGGAGGATGACGTTCTCCATGCCTCATCCATGACCAAAA